TGTTCCCATTCACAAGCAGCTTTTCCCCCAGTGATGGCACAAAGGGTCGCCACGCTCGGTTCCAGGCGTTCGTCCTACAAGTGCAGCAGGACCAGCAGAGAGAGGCCGTGTTCACACCCTTTCCAGCCCAGACCCCGGTTCTGCCTTCCGCGGGCTTGGCTTAAGTCATGTGACCGTCCTTCAACCAATGATTTAGACCCTGAGGAGACTGGACTGCTCTCATTGGTCTGGCCTGAGTCACAGGCTATTGGCCCCACCCAAACCCTTGGACAGAGAGAGGAGGAGGGGGGTCCCCCAGAGGAAACCTGGGGGGGGCTGTTATCAGAAGGAGGTGAGCTGGAGAGACCTTGACCACAGTTGCCCAGGGCACAGGGGTTCCGTCTGCCTCTGGTGGCTGAGCCATTTATCCACTCGGTCATTCAACGTGTGCTCACTGAGCACTTACGGGCCGGCCGTGCTCCTGTAGGGGTGTGTGTGTTGGGCGGGGGGGAGGTACAGCAGTGCCAGGGCAGCACTGCAACGGCGTTGAGGTGAGTGAACTGTGCTCTGTGCAATGATGTGGACTCTCCTGGGGGGCGAGGGGGGGCCATGGGGAGATCACCACACACCACGGTGGGAACACAGAGCAGGGCTCACTCACAGCTCCGGGCAGGAGGCCCAGGGAGGGTTTGGTCAGGAAAGCTGGCAGAGGAGGGATGGACAGTGAGCGGGAGGGGGCAGGGCAGACGGGGCGGTGAGAGCGCTCCTCTGGGGAAAGGTGGTCGGCTGTCAGGAAGAGCGATGCCTGAGACAGACCCAGTGCAGACCCTCGACATCCCCTCCCCCTGCATGGCTCTGCCCCCTTAAAGGGACCCTGGCCCGTCAACACCACCCCTGATCCCCTTTGAGGAGACTCGTGACAGCGGAACCAGCTAAAGCTCTGACTCCCTTTACCCATCCCTCCTTTCCCACCAGCAGCTCCTCCTTTGACCTTGACCTTGGGAGGTAGTCACCCCGCGCTAGGGAGGGAGACAGGAGGGGAGAGAACAGTTGTGGGTGCTGACTCGGTGCAGTGAGCACAGGTGTGTCATCACAGCCGTGCTGGGAGTGGAGTGACTGAGGCAGGGGAGCTGCAGGGCGGCGTCCAGGGGACTCGCCTGTGAGTGGCGGCGCTGGGGCGGGCCCAGGCGGGGGCTCCAGAGCCCCTGCTTTCAGCCCCTGTGTGCGGCTGGGGAGATGATGGGGACAGACACCGCTCCCGTGCGCCTCCCGCACTGTTTGACGCGTGCAAATGCTCTTCTGATGTTACCGTTACTGATCTGAAAGGTAACACGGACAGTAACCCCGTGTTGCATATGTGGAAGCTGAGGCTCAGAAAGGTTAGGTCACCGGCCCAGGATCCGGAACCTCCTCCTCCCACCGGCCTCTCTTTCCCAAAGCCCTGGCTCTCCACCCTGGCGCTCGGTGCCCAGACCCGAGCTGCTGGAGTCGGCCATGGGCACCTTTTCCCGCAAAGCCGAGTCTCCTGCCCGGCTCCTCTGCTCCCCAAGGGCTGCCCCCGCCCCCAAGGCGCAGTGAATTCCCATTTGACTTATTTAAGACGGGGCCCAATGTGTAGCCCCTATTAGGGCTGACCCATTTCTCCTTGTCGCCGAGGCCCGCAAGATGGACCAGCCCCATTTTTCATGCCTCGCATCTGGGGCCTTGCGGTGTCATCTCTCTAGTTTAATATGTGTGAGGCCATTTGTCACAATTCTGGCCCCAGAGCCCCAGGCGGCCGCGAGGAGACCAGCTCCAAGGCAAGACAGGCCCGGCCTCTGTCACAGCCCAGCAGGAAGGGAAGAGTGGACCGCGGGCGCCACTGCCGGGAGGGCCGCTGCTCAGGGAGGTGCAGGTCAGGTTAGGAGTCTGACCGAACCCACTTAGTGAGGCCTCACTCACGCCGCTGCGCAGTGCTGGGCGAGGGGAGCAGGGGGACGGCTGGCTGAGGGCGGCCTCTAGAGCAGATCCTGCCTCTGACCTTCTGACCTTCGCCTGCTGTGGACCCTGGCCAAGCCACGCCCCCTCCCGTGCCTCAGTGTCCTCAGCTGTGACACGGGACGGCCTGAGTGCACCGCACGGAGCCTTGTGAGCCGTGCTGCCGCTCTCTATGGATGCAAAACCCGTCACACAACGGAAATTCATGACGATCTCGCACGGTTCCGTGGTTGGCTGCGCTCAGCTGGGGGCCTGGCGCGGGGCCTGCCGTGACGCCTCAGACGGATGTCGGCGGTCCGGGCATCCAGATGGCCCCTGGCAGCGCTGGCAGGTGGCGCGGCTGGCGCCGGGGGCTCCCCTGGGGCTGTCAGTGGAGCGGCTGCCCCAGCACGGTGTCTGGGCCCCTGTGGGTAGCAAGTGTTCCCAGAGATCCTAGCGGCAGCTACAAGTTTATTTTATAGCCCTGCTCCGGGAGTCCCCGGGTCCCTTGTGTGTATTCTCTTGCTCACGAGCAAGTGATGGGGCCAGATTCAAGGAGAAGGGGCTGCACAAAACTCCAGCCCAGAAGTGGTGGCTCATGGGCCTTCGTTGGAGACAAGCTACCACCAGGACTACGGGAAGTCATGCCCTGGGAATGTGGCATTAAGACAAGCCTCAGCTCCTCCTCTCCGGAGGAGGGGTCATGGTAGCGCAGGTTCCGGGGGGCTGCTGTGAGGACTGTGGGGCCAACTCCTCCAGTGCTTGTGTG